CATTTTGTGAGTGAACGTAAAAATGAAAATTAATGAAAGTAAAAATTAAAATTAGAAATAATGTAGCAAAAGCCTAAGGGATTTATGATTTACTGTACTATGAATAAAAAAAAACCAAAAGTATCTGACAAGTGGCCACTCTTGGCAACCTTAAAAAAGAACATTAATTATCATATCACATCAGATGAAATTATTTTTAAATATTAAATCTGAGCTGATACCATATAGTTACAGCCTATATACGTCCCACTGCTGGGCACAGGCCTCCGCCCATTTCTGAGAGAGTTTTAGGGCAAGGAATTGTCCGCCGCGCTGCCCCAATGCGTGTTGGCGAACTTCACATATCTTCGAAATATTTTTTCTTATTTCTCTAACATGCAGGTTTCCTTACGATGTTTTCCTTCACCGCCGAGCACGGTAAATCAGCACTTAAAATTGCAATTAACAATTTCATTGGTGCCGGCGGGGATCGAATCCGGTTTGCTCGCGTACTGTGAAATTGACAACCAAAGGGAAATTAAATTCTGGGTTAAATATTAGAATAAAACAGTAACAAAAATCATGTTTTTACTTTTCCTTACTAAATTAGATTTAATTTATATAAATTATATTAGAAGCAAAAGAATACGTAAAACCTATATATTATATGTATATCCCACAAATCATTCTTAACGTTACCGTAATCGTTACCGTTACAGCCTATTAAAGTCCACTGCTGAACCTCGCCTCCCATATAGATTGCCTCATAGGGGATATTTGCCATAATTGCCACGCCTGCCAAGCGGGTCGGTCGTTATTAGGATAACGCTGCTGTCCATCTCCCGATTTGTTTCCCTCTGTCGCTCCTATGAGTTAGTGAATACTCTTACACCGCCACTACAAGCTTACATTATATACGGTGCAGGGAACAATAACATATTTTAATTTCTGAGAAAGTACAAAAATTTCGATTTGTTCAAGTTTGGATTGATATTAATCATATCCTCTGATTTTTTTTACATCTTAGATTTATCATAAAGTATATCTACAAACAAATATTCGTTTACAAATAGATTAAATCATCATTATTGGGATAACAGCCGTTCAAAAGTCCAAACAAAAATATACTTAATACAAGTTTCTTCTCGTTGATTTGTTTCCTCACCGAGCACTTTATAAATCAGTTATAAACATACTTTAACTGGTTTCAGTGGGGATAAATCTCATGTTGCTTACGTGCTGTGAAATTTTAATTCGAGCTATCGATATTACACTTACAAATAATATTCATAAATTTTATTTTGTAAACAGTACAATTATTATAAGAAGCATTTCAGTTGAAACCTTTGATTTAATTATTACCGTTCCAAACAAAAGTAAAACGGGCGTATGGTGTTGTGTAATATGCCGGAAATAAAGGATTATTCTAACTTGTTATGGGACGATTATTTTTACAATACTGGTATTATTTTACAAATGTAAAAATATCGATTTGAATGTTGCATTCTCTAATAAAATGGGAAGGTTTGTGCAACCCACGACAATCTAGGCTTTAAAGAATAATTAATAAATTGACTATTTAATAAAACTATTAATACGGATTTTATTGCGTTTAATTAACTTGTTTTTAATTCCCGATGGTCACGGGGTGGGATACTGAGATATTTGACGTCCCAATGTCATAGTAAGCCCGGCTTCACTTTTTGAACATTAATTTATGGTCCGATCTACGCAGAACGAGTTTACAGTATCTTGAAGTTTTGTAGTAGTATGCTTGCATTTGGATTTAACAAGCAGATGGCAGCACCCAACCATCTTTTCTATTGAAATTAGGATGTTTTCTTAATTTCATTAGCCTCGCGTATCATTCTTGGTAGAAATCGGCGTTCTTTTGCGAGGGTTTGTGGTTTATGAAATGGTGGGGACGATCACGAACATGTTCACAGATTGTAGAGAGAGACTTCCCGGAGCGTCGGTGCTTTACGTCAGCTATATGTTATGTATGCTATATAATAATAAATTAGTCCATTAAAACATTTAACCATTTCGCCACCTATTGGATACACATAGCTATGAACCATCATTCGGACAAAACAAATTTGTTGTTAAATCGTTTAGAAGATCTCGGACACGCACCAAAAATTATATTAAATGATATTTATTTTACTTACTAAGCCCGTGTTCGACTCCACCCAAATGTTAGACAGTGATGATGAAGCCTAAGATCATCATATCACACAGAAAAACATAAATTTATCCTCGCAAAGATTTATTCAGACGTTGGTGGCATCGCACATCTGTGTCTACCACTGCGTTACAGCGTATAAGAATTGAGAGGTTACAAGATGAAGATGTAAAAGACAAGTACAAATGTAGACTGAGAGAAAATATAAGTGATTTGGATAAGTTGTGTGTGAATGAGTTAGACTTGGAGAATGTGTGGCATAATGTTAAGAAAGGTTTAGTGGATGCAGCTACCGAAGTATGTGGTGTTAGTAAGAGAACGAATGAAAGGAAAGACTATACGTTATGGTGGGATGATGAGATACGTATGGAAGTTGAAGCAAAGAAGAGAGCATGGCTAGATTTACTAGCGACCAAAGCTGGTAATTCTGGCGGTAAGAATGATGAGATTGAAAGAAAAAAGGCTGAGTTTAAACGTCTAAATTAGAGAGTAAAAGAACTAGTTGAAAGGAAAAAGCAAGAAAGAATGGATAAGAATGATATAAGAATATCGTATAACTTCCAGGCAAATATTAAAATGTTCTGGAAACTCGTAAGAAATACCATGGGACATTCAAAACAGCCTTGATTGAATGCGATACGAGACGAGAATGGCTGTATTCTGAATGATGAAGTGTTGAGTCTAAAGAGATGAGAGAGAAGGAATATTTTGAAAGCGTATTTATGAGTGAAGAGACGTGTGAACTAAATGAAATATATATTCCGAAAGAAGATGAATGAGATAGAGAGATAAGTATAGATGAAATAATGAAATCAATGAAAAGCATGAAAGTAGGTAAGCAGCCGGATATGATAGAGTTTCACTCGAAATGCTAAGGGCTGGAGAGGACGTGGTGGCAGGCCTGCTGTACACATTGTTTAATTTATGTTGGGAACTAAAGCTGGTACCGGGAGATTGGTGCAAAGCCGTGATAGTCCCATTATATAAGGGAAAAGGGTCACAGTAGGACTGTAAAAACTACCGTGGTATCAGTCTTCTTAGCATTGTGGGAAAACTGTATGCTAAAGTACTAATTGAAAGAGTTATGAAAGAAACTGATGAAAACATTTGGATTGTGCAAGCGGGATTTAGAAAAGGAATGGGGTGTACAGATCAAGTCTTTTCAATGCGCATGATCGCGGTGGCGAAAAACCAAAATGTTTTTTGTGCGTTCATGGACTTGGAAAAGGCTTATGATAGAGTGGACAGGGATGTGTTATGGCAAACGCTGAACGCATTTTGGTTGAGCGCTGGTTTAATACAGGCATTAAAGTCTCTGTACAAGCACTCGAGTCCCAATGGACTCGAGTGCTTGTGTTAGAATCAACGGGGTCTACTCGGACTGGTTTTGCATCCATAAAGGTGTCAAACAGGGCTGTGTAGCTTCCCCGTGGCTGTTCAACCTATTTATGGACAGTTGTTTGGAAAATTTGAAAGTTGAAGAATGCGGGTTAAGAATGGGTGAGTTAACCATCAAATGCCTTTTGTACGCCGATGATCATGTCATACTTGCGTCGTCGGCGGCCGAGTTGCAAATGATGGTTACATTAATGAACAAGTCATTTAAAGAAAGGGGAATGAAAGTGAACGCAAGTAAGACGAAAGTGATGGTTTTTGAAAGAGAAGAAAGCAAAACGGTATGTGAAATAAGAATAGAAGGAGAGTTAATTGAGCAAGTGGATGAGTTCGTATATTTGGGATGTGTATTCAGCAGGGATGGGAGATATGATAAGGATATTGGACGACGAGTGAATGCAGGAAATAAAGTAAATGGGGCTCTACACTCTATTGTGAAAAGTCTGAATGTGTCAAAAAAAGGCACGTATGGCAATTCACAATGCTGTATTAGTCCCTACTTTAACATATGGTAGTGAAAGTTAGGTGTGGCAGAAGAAGCACGAGAGTAGAATAAATGCATTAGAAATGCGGTCGCTAAGGAGTATATTAGGGCTGAATCTGAGTGGCAGGGTGAGAAACTGTGTGAAAAAGAAGAGTGTGGTTTGCAAGATGATGCAGTGACCAGGATTAAGAAAGGAATGCTTCGGTGATTTGGTCATGTAGAAAGAATGAATGCGGAAAGACTGACAATGCAAATATATGTTGCAGAACTGACTAGAAGAGTCGGAAAGGGACGTCTTAGGCGGAAATTTGTCCATTTGTTTGGCCCATTTGTACTAAAAATGGGCCAAATTAAGAGTACTCTTAACCGACGAGCATGTATGCGTAGGTATATGGATGTGGAAGAGGCGAGAGAGGTATGTCAGGATCGTGCTAAATGGAAGTCTGTAGTCTCTGCCTACCCCTCTGGGTGACAGGCGTGAGTGTTTATGTATGCTGATGAAGCCCTAGATAATGAATTGAACTATTACTGCGTAACAAAACACTGTTTACTTTCGCTGTGAAGACGTCCAGATTGTAATCGCAAAGTAAGACACGCCCGTAAATTATTCCTTTCGTATTTATTGACTTTCTATTAGGCCTGGTAGTCCTAAGCTCGCGTGATGATCATTTGCTTCTGATATAATTGACATAACTATGAACGTACCGTAGGTACACTAACTACCCGCAAAACGAACAGATATATTAAATACTCCCAAAAAAGAGCCCGCTAAACTTACTACTACTTCCAGTTGCCAAGTAAAATTTTAGTTAAGTTCAACGTAACTAAATTGTTACAAAACTTGTTTGTATAACTTTATCATCAATTGATTCTAGACTTATAAGTCGGAAGTTATGATTTTTTAAATTATTTTAAGTGCAATTTTTCAAATGTACCAAGAGTAAGGTCGATAAATTCTCAGTGAGTTGTACGGCATCTGTTGTTCTGTTGAAATGTGTTGAAAAAAATAGAAAATTGTGTATAAATTGTAAACATAACATGCAATATAAATATTTGTTTTTTCATTATATATATATTGGATGTATATTTAATGATTATCACTTTTGTATGAAAACTTTTAAGCGTTACAATTTATAATACAATTATATTATTTTAATAATCTAAAATATTTTAATTTTTATATAATCAAAATATTTAAACTTTTGTTTACTTTTCTGTGAAATTTTTAAATAAAAAGTACTTACATGAAAAGCTCCCCGGATAAGAGGTCCAGCCTGTCCCACATATAATGTTGATGCCGAATCAAAAACCAACTCCAGCGGGTTCCTCTTTACTGTCACCGTATCAAACTCATGACAGTTCAAAAACAAAGTTACATTATCTGTTGTAACTCTCAAAGCAAATCTACTCCATTTCTTTGCAAATGACGGCACAACAAACGATCCTATTGTTTGCGATAAAGCATAAATATTAGCATCGGTATATAATAGCGAGATGTTTGTAAGTCCAGGACCTGACGGTATAAGTTGCACACCTAGTTGGACAACGGTTTCTAAAGGATTTACTACAGAAAACAGGAACCCGCCTTCTTTGTTGGCTGGACGAACGGTTGCAGTTATCGAAAATTCGGCATACAACTTTTCGGGCATGAAAAGCCGATATGGGGACTTAATATCGGAACCCGGTTTCAGCCCGTACGCAGGAAATCCGTCGAGGCCTTCGTCGAAGTATTGAGTTTTTGGATTACTGAATGGTACGCCAATCGCTCGAAGTAGGTCGTATTCAGGTATGTCTGGAATGTACAAGTGCATATTTAAAAAATCATATTACGTACGTAAATACTTATTTCAAAATTATTTGAGTATTTTTATCTGAACAGAACCTGTTAGCTTTAATAATTTTGTTAATTCATTAAAATGTGTTCTTTGATGAAAAATTTTCCTTAATGAGTTACAACGTACGTAACGCTTTTGTAAACAGTTTGCAAAAAAGGCTAAAAGGGTAAAAGAACATTAAGAATACAAATATTTAAATATTGATAGACGAAACTGAGCTTTTAATGTACTCGTAATTATATCAAATAAAACATTTTCTCTTATAATATATTTAAGCTTTGTTGATCCTCTTTAAAAGCCTTAATGGAGTTGTTCAATAAGTGAACTTTCTTGAATCTCGAAATTAAATTGAATAACTTTTAATTTCAATATTACGGTTATCGTTACAGCCTATAAAACGTCCACCATTAACATAGGCCTCCCACATGTATTGCCTTATAGGGGAGATTTTGCCATAGTTCCTACGCTTGTCTGGCAGATTGGCAACCGCAGGAAAAGGATCATTATTTTGAATTGTTATTTGGAAGATGCTGCTGTCCATCTACTAGTTTGTATCCTTATGTCGCCTCTTAAAATACCTACGGGACGATATAAATCGATATGAGTGGATATGAGTGGGTATTCTTACACTGCCAATACAAGGTCCATTGGATTTCAAGATAAATTACGTATAATTTTGTAAACGTCTGAAATTTAGAAGCTGGTTTAAACTTGCGGTCCACCAGTTGGTAAGGACTACACAAACAACAAACAAATAAGAAACGCAGCCGAAACGGCGTCGCTTACGCATTTTGTTCAACGAGGTACGAAGGTGTCGTGTGTCTATGGATTAAACAAGCAGTGAAGAACGGCCAAAATTCAACTTCGTAATAGGTAAAATTGATATAGATCTTTTTGTAATTAGTGAGTACTATATAAGGCAGGTATATGTAAAAGATTAATATATATATATATATATATATATATATATATATATATATATATATATATATATATATATTTGAAAAGGATTATTACATTTATTTACTATAAAATTAAATTTTCTTATATTTTATGCCGAACTTGTAGTTTAAATTATAATATTAAATAAATCACTTAAACTATTTGTAATTTATACTTCATTTCATTCAAATAAAATGAAATATATTACACAAATACTTCACTTCTGTCGCGTGTGAGCTGCACGCATGTTTTTTTTTATAAGTTTTCTTCACCATTTACCTATAATACTTATTTTGAACCTTCTCTTCAAGTTTGGCCGTATATTGCAAAATAAACCTGTTAAAAACCACACAAAGTTAGGTATTTTTCAGCCCATCTAAATCACTATGCTTAGACTGCCGCAAAGCACAATTCTAATCCTCTTGAATTGCTTTTGACTACAAGCACATTCCTTCAGATTCTCAAGCGAAGAAAAACTCTGACCGAAGAAGCTCGCTCTGCATAAGTCGTCAAGCGTACTAAGGTAATTTTTTTCTCTTTTTTCTCTTTCGTAAAAGTCCATAAATTGACACGGGTCCTTTCTGCTGTAGGAAGGATTTGCCTTAATCAATACGCATGGGGCTGTCCCAGACTTAGCCTACTGGCATGAGACTACCACTAGATAACCTCTTTTACCCATCTTTTTTCAGTTTTGGTAAGACATGCAGGGAGTCGATAAATGCAAGTGGCTCAGTTCCGTGCTTTGTGGCATTCTTTGGGGGAGGTCTATTATCAGAATTGAACTTGTGAAAGGCTGTAATGTTAATTATGCATGGTAGGTGCATTGACGACAGTTCAGCAGTTCGTACCTTTACCACTCTCGTACCTTTGTCGCAGTTGCCTGTCGCCGCTCGGAGTATTTTACGTCTGATCTAAACGAGATAGTTAATACCACTAATTCTAGTTAGGCAAATTTTTTCTGGTATTTTCTATAGTCGCCTAATCCATAGTCACAGCTATCGTAAGAGAATTTGATCAATGATAGGTAAGAGGTGACTTAATAATGGAAAAAAACACCTTTCAAGAAAAGAAATTTCAAGAAGAGAAATAATGTGAAACCAGTTTCGGATTCGGTTATATGCTAACTAGCGATTACTAAATTCCTAAGATCGTTCCGTCGTAATATTTTAGAGACACACAAGTCCAGCAGTGAATTTAAAAAAGTTGGTGAAGAAGAAGAAAATTTGATTACTCACCGTTAGGGAACTTTGATCCAAATAATCCATCGGTTGCGGAGCAAGTGGCTGAAGATAAGAGTATAGTCCACCAAAGGTACCTAAAGGGAAAAGAAAATATGGATTAATGATTGATTGATATTTCCATAAACAGTTTTTGATATTAACAATTTCCGAGTAATTATAATTAATTTAAAAATTAACATAAAAAATCAAAGACATACTGGAATATTTTCTCTATCAAATTTCTTAGCACATTTTAAACTTATTTAATGGATTTTATTACTTATAATATAATGAAAATGCGTTTCTCTTAATAGAAAGTAAATTACTGTAAATAGTTTAAATATGGAAAAGCTTTTGTGTGCAAATTCATAATTCGAATGAACAATTTTTATCGAATATCTCACATTATTTTATTTTCATCCGGTCACTATAGCGTAATCGAATTTATGTCGTTCCCAAAAAAGCAGTTCAATTTCCAATTATATACATTTTAAACGGATACGGCGACTAAAAATATGACAATTTGCAATTCAGATTATTCTAGTAAACTTTAGACTGAAGAGAGCTATAATTGATACGAATATTGGAGTTTTATTGGTGTTCGGTTGAGCCTTGTATTAATAAGTTCATTGAAACGTGAGTCACTCTGCTGGGGTCCTTACGCAAGTGTTGCTCGCAAGTTTATCAAACTAACATTGAACACTGAATTTGTATTCATGTTAGGATTCATTTATAAGCATTAGAAAACGATACGTGGGCGTATTCCCATGAGTAGTTTATTTCACACAGAGTTCTGTCTACATACAAATGTCAAGGTAGGAGAAGCGACAATTTTCAATACTGCAAGATTAAAATATTACGGTAATTTTGACTGGGTAAGCTTGATAATAATTTGGAAATGGATTATCTGATTATGAAATCAGTATCAGATGCGTAAACAATAATTTAAGAATTTAGTCCTTTGTTGTTACAGGTAAATGAGGGGACTATTGTTCTACAGTAAGTATAGAAAATAATAATTAATGGTAATTTTACTATTTATAAAACTAGTAAGTTCTAATAGCATAGTTTACGATAAGTGTTTATTTAATTTTTTCAGGTAGTAGTGTCATAATATGATAGGAAATTATGAAATCTCTCATGGTCTCCAGTAGAGGTGGTTTACCATCAATTAACGTGATATCGTTGCATCTATATTACGGTTGAAGCACAATAGGACTTACACGATTGAGGAAAGCCCACGCTCTCAATTTTCATATTTATTTTGCAAAAGATGATCGTACGACCGACTTATGTAGTATTCTAACAATTACGGAAATTTTATCTCATCAATTGTGAGATATCGCTAAGAATATTTAAAATATTGCCTAACATTGTTATTTCTCACGACAATTATCTGATAACATTAAAGCGTTAATTCCTTGTATCTTGTTGCGAGAATGCTGAGCAATTTAAATTAAGAAAGGCAATTATTTTAATTTCGAGGTCAAATTCCGGGCAGAATTGTAAACGGCCATTTATTTGTAGGCTGATCTAAGCGCTAATTTTAATTGTATTTACCAAAAAAAAATATCATTTACTTTTAAATTTTATTTTCCTTTAGTACTTATATTAACTCTTTATTTAAAAATATAAAAACATCTAAATTCAGTACTTTGTAGTCTATAGTAATCTACAGCGATAGCTTACTAGGTATGAGTATTTTGTTTAACTTTTTGCTCAGCGGAAACATACAGGCGCTTGAAAAAGCTGCGTAGCATTGTATAATAACAAGGTGATATTGCATCTCTACCTACGCTTCTTGGTTTGAAGTTTATGATGTGCTTAGTACAAGAACGTATTACACACAGCTTACTAGACCGTTGTGTTAAGAGTTAAACATAAAATAAATCCATAAACGATATTTACATTTTTACAGGTTTTATTTTAACTCAATAGGTATACGTTAATTTCTCCTTTCAATAATACAGTCAGCTATGTAACTTCAGCTTGCAATTAGTTCTTCATAATCATTCATAGCCGTGGTAGCTTAGATGGTTAGCGCTCGCTGTAAATTTCACAGCACGCGAGCAAACCGGGTTCGATCCTCGCCGGCACCAATGAAATTGTTAATTGCAATTTTAAGTGCTGATTTACCACGTGCTCGGCGGTGAAGGAAAACATTGTGAGGAAACCTGCATGTCTAAGAAATAAGAAAAAAAAATTCGAAGACATGTGAAGTTCGCCAACACGCTTTGGGGCCGCGCGGCGGACAATTCCTTGCCCTAAAAACCCGCTCAGAAAAAAGTGGAAGCCTGTGTCCAGGAGTGGGACGTATATAGGCTGTATGTAGTCATTCATTCGACATTTCTATAAAACCCAAATTCAAAATTGATCTATGTGTGATTTTCTTCTGCAAGTCACAAATCTCTCGCATTTTTTTCTTCACTTCACCATTAACTGTTACTACAGAACAATTTGGAAAAAATCCTATGATAGAAGAAGGGACCAAAAGAACTCAATCTATTTTAATAGTTTTCTTGCCAAATACTTAACATTCGAAATGTAATAGGGGTAACATGTCAATGAAAGCTTGACGGTCAATGAAGTCGTCACCATGCGCTCATTTGCCACTGCACCTGTTTCTTAATTTTGATTGTAATAGTACGTATGTGGTGTTTTACATGCCATGTTACTATTTTTGCACTTTTTTCTAACTGTTTCCATTTATTGTTTTTGTGTCTTTGGTTAAGCAACTTTTCATTTCAAAAAAATAGTTTGAAGCCATAGCATGTATTTAACATGATATTACAAAAGATGAGTCTGAGGCAAACAAACGAAGGAAGGATGATGCACTTTCCACGAGTGATCAAGCCACTACGAGATAAAAAATACTGTTTGATTAAACTGTTGCATACTTTTTAAATGTTTAATTACAATTGGAAGAAGCCCACACGAAACGGCGCCTTACCCCAAGTTATACGTAAATTTGCGAGGTATGCTATGACGCACATGTTTATATTGAGCTTGCAAGCTAGGCTAGGCTAAGCTATTTTGAGGAGCAAATTATAGGACCTTAAATAACAAAAGCAAGCCAAGTTTTATCTATACCCTACTTTTAATATACACCCATGAAAAAATTATGAATAAGTGTGAGTACTGCAAAAAAGCATACAAACGTCTTGTACTTATTTTTAGTAAAAAATTTTGTGAATTATATTTAATGTATGTATTTTTAATACATCTAAGTTAAATACAACTAAAACTGACTGTTAATGAAAGTTAAGTTCTTATTTGTTGATTTAATAATTAAAATAAAAACATTATAAGCATTTTGTTTAATTTGCCTATAATATAGGTAATTGGGTGACTCACCACCCCTTTTACTCTTGATATAAATCGTGTTACCTACCATCTGAAATAAATTTTATGCTGCGTTTGTTGGAGTTATCATTCTATTTTGTTAAGTGTATAGAAAGTGTAAAAAAGTAAGTGTATAGAAAGTGTAAAGTGTATATAAAGCCAATTAAGAAAATTAAACCGAGATTATATGGCGTATTATATAGCGTTAGATAGTGGAATACCTATCTGTTATTTTAAAGACATAAAATATATTAGCTGAAACCTAAAAGGAAAGAAATGCTTCTCTCGAAAATGTAACTACATAGTTTAATTTAAAACAATACGCTTATTACTCATTTTTAATATCTTTAGAGCATTTTATACAACTATCCAGACAGTACAAACTTCTTCAATATAATTAGATTTAGTATTTTACAGCTTTATAAACAGTTAATCATAATATGCAAATATTTAATACCCAATGTTATGCCTTTCGCAACGAGCCTCCCAGGCTTGATGCAAACTTGTAGGTGCTGACTATAAAGAAAATTGAGCAACAGAACAACAGAACCTGCAAATGCAAACATTTGAATAATGTACATAAATTACCATAACGCAGGTTAAAATTACCGTAGTTGTATAAAAGGTGCAAATTATTTATATCAATTATACCGCTAAAACGGTTATTTTAATACTTCTGACATTCAATATGTTTTCTTTTATTTGCGGCTTAAAAAAATATGAAGGGTTAATACCGTGTCATTTTCATTATCAGACCAGCCCGGCTGTCCATTGTAGAATAAAGACATCTTCCAGAGACAAAACACGAATACGGCTTACCATATCAGTCATGCATCCTATAGACCAACTAAGCTTATTTAATCAAGGGTGATAAACGAGTACACACGAGACAGTCTCTTGATTGTAAGTAAATAGTGTACCTATAGACACAAACCTATATAAATTCGAGTTCGAATCTTACGTTGAACAAGTATACCCTATTAAAAATGGTCTAATTGGACGGTCTGGATGTTTTTCATTGTCTTATGTTGTTTGCATCTTTTTGCGGAATTTATCTATGTCTATCGCGTCCATGATACATAAAATATTTTGGCGTGAGGCTAAGATAAAGGAAGTAATAATAATAAAATAAATAGAAGGAAGCTTATTTAAAGGAATAAATTAATTCTCGATTAAGAATACAAAAGCCACCTAAATGTAGTCGTTAGAAGGCTACAACTAGGTGGCCTAGGTGTATCTGCACTTTGGATTTTAGCCGTAACATATTAACACATATCTGATTCTAAAGGACGTCGAAATCACCTAAACGTCACCCAATAGTTATACGATATACTCGTATGGTAATTATGATCATATTGTTATTCAAACTTCTATACCGGGGAATCTTTATTTCTACCAAGGATTATAGAAAAAGAAATTTGAGGATGTTCGCTAGTGGGTTACTGATCATTGTGAATGATAATTTGTGCAAATACTAATTAGAAATAACAAATAATGTCTTTTATCTTCAATAACTATGGCAGTTAGTATCAGTAGTAGAAAGTTAGTCATTATCATCAGCGTCATTGTTAGATATTTTAGCTCCATCGCTGGAAATAGGTCTTTCCAAGAATATACTATTTGCCGTGGACGTAGGTCGTTATAAATTGTTTAAAACACAAGTGAGTTTATTTGCTAAAAACACAGACAAACACACAAGAGCATCAGTGGATTTCCTCAAGGAACTCCTAATGCTGCAAACTATAACGTTACGTCGGTTACGTGTTTAATTTCAAATGGCGCTGTGACATAAGCATGTCTTCACATCATTTCCAATTAGAGTAAATGTTAGTTTATGACTCGTTTGACAGATATTAGTTACTGTTTAGAATTATTGGTTAACAACACAAGGGACCATTTTGTTCCATCTATTTGATTCCACAATAATTAATTACATTGAACACTTTGTTTTCCTCCAGAAATGGCAGAAATTAATTACAGTGCGCAGAACAAAAGTCAAGAGTGCCGATCCATCACCGAACTGTTGAAGGGGGTTGGACAGCGGCTCATTTCACTTGGACAATTGCGGTAATGTGTTAGTACGTAATTAATTCGGCTGATATATTAATTTCTTACTTAATATTACAGATATTCTTGGATATAACACAAATATTCCGAAAAATGTTTTATGTTAAATTCAGTGAAATTGTGGATTAAATTCAATATTATCAATTTTAATATAATATAGTAATATAGTCGTTATCATATCCTGTGTTAGTTCAAGGCGTAAGCGCTAGTCTAATTATTCGCGAGCAAAATGGAGTTCACTCCCTGCCGGCACCAGTGAAATTGCTAATAGCAATTTTAAGTGCTCACTTAACTCGTGCGAGGTTGTGAAAGAAAACATCGAGAGAAAACTAGCACGAATGAGAAATAAATATATTTCGAGGACATTGGGAGCTCGTCGAGTTGAACTATGTAACTCTGTCTACCCTTGTATATATGTCTCAATTTCATATGTTTAATGAATATTTAAGCAAAATTCAACTGTTAGGGAACAAAACAATGTTTTTTTTTTCCAGAGAAACGTAATAAATTTTTAATTTCAAAATAAGCAGTGTTTTTATATTGGCGGTATTATCGATTGTACTGCATAGCGTCTTGCCGTGTTAAGGGGTGGCAACGTAACTCTTTACATCCCGTGGGAATCGTAAAAGGCAAAGTTAGAAAATGCAAGAAAGTTTTTATGGCCTCTCATGGATAGCGTTATAGCTACCTCGTATGCAACAAATAAAAAGTATGCAGACTAGTGTTGAGGCACAGGTTCAAATGTATAAAAAGTCTATTAATAGGGTCGCCATGTGTGGTTATTATAGAAGGTTATGTGATATGCTATTATGGAAGGTCGATATAAAAAGAAAGAAAAGGGTAGCACCGAAACCCACTTTGAGATTAACACTAATTTAATTACAAACACTTGCATGTCTTACTAGGTCGTCGCTCTATATAGCAAGGGAACGCCCTATATTTCGTCTACCGGTACAAGGATGCCACCTTCGATCAACAATACCAACTAGATAACGCGTCACGTACAAAATCATAGCTAAATACTGTCCGCATGAATATAAACTATGAAAAGACATAAATTAAATAACATTTAGTATGAAAACAACCTTAAGCTATAGCAAATAAAGTTCTTTTTCCCATTATTGCCTTGCGAGCTACACTCTCACGTGCAAGAGCTCACGTCTCATGTGCGCTCTTATTTACTGAGATAGTTTCTTGCGCCGACTCGACATCTATTTGGTATTGTTGATCGAAGGATGCCACTCAAAAACCTTTCTTCCCGATGATGATCGATGGATGCAGGTGGCTCAAGACTTTTGTTTTCTTTTGGGGGTTGTGTGGTCAGTGTTGTGTTTGAAAAAAAAAATTTTTTTTTGTACTGTTTATAACTTGATTTTACAGCTTTTATCGCGTTTATTAACATAATTTATATTCGGCGACGTTTCGAGCACTTTACAACATCCACGGTCGCGGGAGGGACAGATTTAATGTAAAAAAAAATATTCTTAAAAGAGAAAAATATATATTCTTTTAGTAGTAACAGGTGAATAAATTTCAGTAAAACCACTACAGGAAAATCAATCTGTAATTTAATTAATCTATCTTCAACTTATCTTTTGAATAGCAAACAAATCAACATTTTACTACCATGTTGTTGTGTCACTCTCTTTTTACTCTTTCATTATAGTTAGTATTATCCTACTAACGTAATTAGTGAACCCAGTGAACAGTGGGAAATTAAAGCGTTATTGCATATAGATAAAAACCAAATGGAGGTCTATAGTTGTGTAATGTTATTCACAGATAAATATTTCGTATTTGTTTTCAACATTGACGTAACAAGTTTTTTAGTGAATTTGCAATTATTGATTGTCTTTAAATGGATAAATCTTTGATGTTTCAATGTTTGCTCACTGGGTAAATACACGTACATTTTTGTTATTTCGTCGAGAGATTTTTAATGTACACTGACGTAAGAAACAAGGAGATGAACGTTTTATATTTGTACACTACCAATGCATTATTAAAATAAATAACCATCGGACTCATTTTTATTTTGTAGCGCTGATATTCTTCCTGTTTTATTTTCATAGAAGAGAGGGAAAGTGAGCATTTGGCTCATTATACGTAGTAGAGCCATGTTGCAGATATATTGATGGTTATAGTTGTAGTACGAATGGGTTGGCTCGACCGGGGAAGGACCACGCTCTCACAGAATACCAGCGTGAAATAGTAACTTAATGCTGCTGTGTTTCGTATGGTGTGTGTAGAGAACCGGAGACCCTTTTTACTGGAAACGAGGCAATCCATTTTAGTCCTCACGGGTGGCAACGAATCTGCATTTTGATTCGTAATCGAGGATAGATGTCTATGGGCCACAGTAACCACTTATAAGCAGATGGACTGTGTGCTCGTTTGTCACCCTATCCTATAAAAAAATGCATTTGCAATGAGAGAGTAATCGTAGGTCGTTGTCAGCTTTACTTTAAGGACAGAGAAAGCTTTTTATCTTATAGATTACGAAGTCAGTAGTAAGATATCGTGCAAGATAGAAAACCGCTAAGCTTTCAGTATGTGGTTGTGTGGATGGTGTTGAGAATGTTGT